GGGGGGGCTGTGAGAGGGGGGGACAAATAAGGACAAATAAAACAAAAGTTTTACTATCAACCTATGGTTGTGCCTACAGTATATAATATATTGTACCGTTGACTGTATCGTGATACATTTTATAATTCATATATATTTTATATATTTTTATATATATTTATATATTGATACATTCAGTCTTGTACTAAGTCAATACACCGCACAACAAACTCCTGAGATGAAACTAGTTTCACTAGAGCTGTCAATCAAAAAAAATAATAATCACGATTAATCACGATCGTAATGTTCTGTGATTCGTCATGAATAGTCGTGATAGAGACCAGCAGAGAGACTAGACCAACAGAGAGACTAGCAGAGAGACTAGACCAGCAGAGAGACTAGACCAGCAGAGAGACTAGACCAGCAGAGAGACCAGACCAGCAGAGAGACCACTCCAGCTCCAGTGTTTCCACTCCGGGCCGACTCCTGGTCCCTGTGATCAGTCGGCCTTGTTGCGGTGCAGAGTCTTATTATATGGCTGTGTGTGAGCCCTGTTTGTTGTGTCCTTGAGGGTTTTTCCCATGCTGCACCAGCACCCTGAAAACTGAGAGGAGTGACCACAGAATCTGCCCCGGGGCAGAAACAACAAACACAAACACAGTCAAACTCCTCCGTTTCCACCGTCTGCTGGTTCCTCCAGAACAAACACTTTCTCAGAATCACAGGACGTCCACACATGGTCCGCGGCGCTGGTGCGGCGTCCGTTCCGTCCCTCCCTGCCCACTCTGTCACTCCTGACTTTTTACATGTTTTCTGTTTACTGCCAAACGCCACAGAAACTAGAAAACAAGAAGATCCTTGGAGGTCAGGAACACGAGCCCACATCCTCTCAACTGGAAATACTCAAGAGAAAAGAGGGCACACACACGCCCCCTACTGGACCAAAGGACAACTGACGAGAAAACAGACTGATCAGAAGTTGACCTCCTTTGGTGTCGACTTCATTTGATTAAAAAGTGATTCAAAAACTCGATGTAAATAAAGGACCGTCTGTTGTGTCTGTGTATCAACACTGACAGGACAGCTGTGTGTCTGTACTGCAGTCACACTGTTGGTGTTAGCATTTAGCACATGCCTGACTCAGTTAAACCAGCAATAACTGATGGTTAAAACAACCGCCGTAAAACACAGTGCACCGCACATGACAGCCCATAGGGGGCGTGAGCAGAAGGCCCTCAGGTGGGTTGAGAGGAAGCGGTTCTTATGAACTTAATTAAAGGTCTGACGAAGAACAATGAAAGATCACAGGTGATTGGCTGACGAGAAGACTTCCCTTAGCAACACAGCTGCTTCCTGCTCTGACCAAACAACCAATCACGGTGAGCCAATCTTCCTTTGGGTCAAAGAAGCACTGTCTATCTGAGAGGAAGGCTGTAAATAAGGGGAGAGGGGAAGGAAAGAGGGGGAGGAGGAGGAAGGAGGAGTATTAGTCAGAGCTCTGAATGGAAACATTTGGAGAGGCTCTTTTGGAAAGAGTAAGAAAAACAACCATACGAAAACAAACAGAAACAAACCTGACGGAGTTTGAGGTCTGAACATTTTCTCCTCCTTCTGTAAAGAGGAACTTAATGACTCAATACGTTCCCTTATTGACACTCTCAGAGGGAGTTCAACAGAACTTTCCTGAAGTGTGTACCGGGTGGGAGTGTCACAACTGACTCACGGACTTTATTAAAGTGCATTCCTGAATGATCAACTTCCACACCTCTGCTGAGAGGAGGGATGAAGAGGAGGAGGAGGAGGAGGAGGAGGGAGAGGGGGAGGGAGAGCGCCCACTGCTGCTCAGACCTGGCCCAGACTTCAGTGTTTTTTTAATATAACGTGTTTCTCACGTTCACCTCCTGCTGTGGATTCAGAACTCTCCAGAAGGAGAGGAGAAGTACTTCAGTACTTAAAAAGTACTTAAGTACAATCAGGTTTTTATGGTTTCCTAATATGCAGTACTACTGCAGTTTTACTGACCTGGTCTGGTCAGTACTACTGCAGTTTTACTGACCTGGTCTGGTCAGTGGTTACACTTTCAAAGTCATGTCATCAGAACTCAGGGATCTGACCTTTCAGGCGCCACCTACTGGTTTCAGGGAGAAGGGATTTTTAATCACCCAACAAACGATTTCTCTTCTCATCGACCGTAAACAAATCACATGACTTCACACAGATCCAGTAACAGGAAGTGTGAAACAAAGACCTTTATTTTGAAAAGTGACTGGGTCTGTGTCAGGAAGTCTGAGTCGTTCACAACCAACTCGTATTTTTTAATGAGAAAAAAAAATAACAGTCCAGAAGAAGACACAACAAACATCTGAGCTCCGTCCCCACACAGACACTGGCCACCACCAGGTGGCGCCTTTTAATGATAAACTCTTCCTACCTTTTTCTGATCCTCCAGCTTCTGACTCGTTGACTTTTTCCCATGCCTCCCAGCCTCAGGTCCGTCCATCCCTGCTCCAACTGAACAGGAACTCCAGAGTGAAAAACCACAGGGATGAAGTCGGAGTTAATCCAGGATGCTACAGCGCGCTAGCAGTGACCCGAGTCCGGCTGCGGCCGTGGCCCGGACACGGGCGGTCCATGGTACTGAGTGAAGAGCGGCTGGTCCGTGAGGTCTGGTCTGCCGGGTCTTCGTTCAGTAGAAAGGTCAAAGGTTTCCAACATCACATCACGGTGGAGGAGAGGATTATGGGGCGGCAGGTCTGGATCTCCTCACATCAACATTTCAGTCTCTTCCTCAGGTGACGACTCGTGGCTCCAGTTCCCAGAATTCCTTCCATTTCTAGGAAAAGACAGAGACAATGAACGGTCTGACACAGCAGCTGAAACAGGAAGTCACTCCTGGCTCCGCAATTAATGCACAGAGCTGATGTCTGCGTTTCTG